ACAAACTTCCAAAAGGTTATTTGAGAAGCCCCAAGAAATACAGCTCTGTAAGAAGAGCTGCACACTTGATAAAGAAGTCATTCATGTTATACAACTAAAGTGTTATTAAGCTCAAAACAAACAAAAAGGTTTTTGTCTTGTTGACTCAACCCCCTGTCAGATACCTACAAACTTTAATTTACTAATTTTTATAGTTAAAAATGGCAAATTAAACAAATAAATCCATTAAAAATGTCTACGAATGCTGGCTTTTTCTTTTTTTAATTGTTGAATTAATTTGTTATCTTGGCCATTTTCTCTTTTTGTGTCCTTTCCTTTATTTGTCCACTGTTTGTTGTTTTAGATATGCTGTAAATGTAGACGCAAAGGAAGGGAAAGAGTGGAAACTGTGTCAGGAGGTGAATTCAGACGACAAAGAGGTAGAGACTAACAGGCCGGTGTCAGTCATGAGCTCCTTAAGTTACAGAAAACAGTCCAACCTGGATTCATTAGGAAGCAAAGGAGAGAGCGCTGCCACAGAGAGCTCTCTGACCTTCCAGAAGTCCAAATTCAAACCCTCTGACCTTCATGACGAGACGTACTCTGTGAGCTGCTGGAAGACTGCCCAGGCACAGGAAGACTTCAGTGGCAGAGAATCCGTCATCTCTGAGGCAAACAGCAGAGCCAGGAGAGGTATAGACAGCCGATTGAGTCAAATTGACAAAGAATCCTTCGTTTCGTCCAGTCGACCTGCAACAAATCTCAGCTTCATCTCAGAGACGAGGCCTGGCAGCAGCTTCGGTCTAAGCCGACAGGGATTCCATCGAAGCACCTCACGTTTAGAAGAGGGCAGAAGTGAGCGGTTACTGTACGGCAGCAGTCCTAGCAGCCCGTGTTTTAGTCGTCGGTCAAGGAGTCGCAGTCCTGGAAGCGTTAGCCAGCCAGGTTCCCACATGTTGCTGGGCCGCAGCAGCCGACTGAGCGACTTTGACATTGCTGTGGATGACAGTTGCAGCGTGGCTTTCACTGAGAGGTCAGCGTACAGTCCTCACTCATCCACGGGTCGCAGTGTCTCCATGCCTCCACCACAAGCTAGATCCATTTCTGACAATTACTCAGTTGATGACTCTGATATCAAGCCTGTCAGTCACCGCAACTACCTCGACCCTGACCTGGAGAAAGCTATAAACGAAGTGCTGAGTTTTAAACCTATCAAGTTTAAGCGAAAGAGCTTGGAAGACTCCAATGACGAGGAGGAAAAATCCCAAAGCAATAAAGACGAGGGTAAAGCTCTGAGGGATGGAGACCGTACTCGCCCCACTAGCAGTCTCCGGTGCCCTGAACCTGACGTGGACTGCAGGAAACCGTCCCGCAGTGCCAGCAGCTGCAGCAAGAGCAACGGCAAGAGCAAGAAGAAGAAGAAGAGAAGTCACAGCTCCGAGTCTCACAGTTCTGGTGAAAAAACACGTCGCAGAAGCAGCTCCAAAAGAAGGCACAAAAAGTCCAAGAAAAGGAATCGGTCATCTTCGTCTTCCTCAGATTCTGAGTCAGACTCAGGGTCTAGCTCTGATGCATCTACCATCTCATACCGAAGTTCAAGCAGCGTAAAGAAGGCTCCAGCTAGAACTGCTTCTGACCCAGAAGAGGAGGAGGGCCAGCCCTTAAACAGGAAGGATGAGAAAAAGAGAAAGAAGAAGGTGGACAGTTTGGTGATGAAGTACTTGTACCGGCCTGACAGTGACTGACAGACAGTAGGTGGTTCGATCGCAGAGTGACGCATGGTGTGGCCTAACCGTGACTTCTTCAGTCTTACCCGTCCTAACGATGGTGGAACACACTTACAGTCTGACTGAACGTTTAAACCATTACTAACAACTGGGTTCATTTGTTTAGAGCTGAACAGTGTTGGCCATTTTATGTGGCTCTTAAATAACTTTGTCAACGTTTACTTCAGAAATAGTCACTTTTCTTTGTAATGTGAAAAACAGGAAACAGCCTCGCTGCAGAAAGAACGAGACTAATCATGTTCAGCTGCGAGCAAACAGATGTTCACTACATCCACTCTAAATGGGAAGTCTCGCTGAAATTATTTTCTGTCAGGGTTCAGAACACCTACAGTATAAAATGCTCACTTGGGGGCCGAGATGGGGTAGAGGTAGGGCAGCCGACCAGGGACCCAAAAGTCTCGGGTTCGATCCCCAGCCATTCACACATGTCATGGTATCACTGAACAAGACACCCAATTCCCAAATGTTCCCCGGGCACCTACATAGCTGCCCACTGCTCCACCTGGCTGTATCCCAGGTGCAATGGGTTAAATGCAGAGACTAATTTTACCATTGTATGAGAACATGCACTGACGACAACACATAGAACTTATATCCATTAGAATTCATGTTTTGAACAAAAACTCAAATGACTTCTAACATTTGAGTCATGCTTTGCATTAACCCTCAAACTGGCCGTTAGCTTTGCATTAATCCTCAAACTGCTCATTAGCTTTGCATTAACCCTCAAACTG